CAGCCTGTCAATATCTTTTAAACTGTGGTGCCCAGAATCGGACATAGTATTCCAGATGAATACCAACAGAGCGTCTTCAAGCTACAGATAGAATCGCTCTAGTTGAGAAAACAAATATAATTTCCACAGATTATTTACATAACTTTAAAGCAGATAATGAAGACACTGAAATATATCAAAAAATTTTCCACAGCTTGCTTCAATCACTGATCAAAATGGAAACTTCAGAGAAGATTTTTTTAAAAAAGACTAAGACTTGGAAGAGCAGCTATGACGCAACTAGACATGTGATGTTAATGTCAGAATGAAGTCCCCCATTCATAGGGTCACCACAGGTAGAATACAAGTTGACAGCAGATAACAGCAATGACAATGCCATGAAAGTCAAGGATAGAAAGACATGGTACAGCCAAATCCTTAGTCAGCAATGGAAACCCACCGGATACCTTGTATTAAGTAGCACTCTCTCAGTCAGAGATGAAGGCAATGGCAAGCCACTTCTGAATAAATATTGCTAAGAAAATCCCATTATAAAAAGCCTTAGGGTTATCGTAATTCAGCAATAACTTGAAAGCATGAGACCAACAGCAACACCACCTGAACAACATCAGGGCAAAAAAGGGTTCAAATAGAGGAATAATGTTAGATGCCTTTCAACTCCTTCTCACAGAAAGCATTCTTGCTCATATACTCCATAATTAACAGGGACATGGCATATATCCAGTTTAACTGTAGAATCTGTTTAACATCTCTGAACAGGTAGCTTACTGCTCCTGTTGGAGATGCATCATGGAGGAAAAGAAGAATCCAGCCTCCATTTGCTTCCACTGCAAAGCAACAAGTGTTCACTCACTTGAGGTTCAATAATAAAGAAGAAAGACCATTATATTGCTTTTGGGGACATGTGAGCAATGCTGGACAGGTTTGAATGCAAAACATTTTAGAGATGGCTCTAACCACTGATGAAATCTGCTTTGAGTTCAGTGTAAACTACAAAAACATAAGTGTGGTGGTTCTGCACTTTAAGACATTTTGTCTTCTAGAATAGATACATATATCCAAGCAGGCAGCCTGATATAGCAAAGGTGTTCAGCTTAGTTACTATGTGGTAACAATGATGAATGAACCATATTTATCTTAGACAAACATGCAAGTGCAGTTGGCTCTTGGTATTCACTGAGATTTGGTTTCAGGACATACATACAAACAATTAACAAAATCTCTAGATGTTCAAGTCCCATTATATAAAATGACACAGTAAAATGGCAAAATTAAGATTTGTTTTTTGTAATTTGGGAGATAGGAGATATTTTCAAGTTGTGGATGTTGGAATCCATAGATACAGAATTAGTGGATACAGAGGTTCAACTGTAACAGCAAAAATGTTGGTCATAATTTTTTACAGTGAAATTTTAATTTATTAAAATACGCTAGAACTCCCATTGGGTTACAAAATGCCTCAGTAGTCATGTGCATTTTTTAAATGGAAGTTAAAAAAACACATAAATAAGATACTATATGAAAACATGTGAAGCTCCATTCTTGTTAAAATTCCTCAAATAATTTTCAAAGCAGTTACCTTTTTTCTGGCGTTCTTTTGGTGCCAGAGCTATTTCTTATTTCACTACTTATTTCTTAATGCTTACATTCTGTAATGACCAATTTGCTCCCAGCACAACTGTGGTTGAACTAGCTTCTTTTGTGCTATATTTATCACGACTAAAAGTGCTGCTAAAACTGCTATAGCTGAGACTGCAGAAATGCATAAAGTATTATTAACCTAGACAAAACAGGATTTAAAGTGTGTGATACATAGTGTGTGTGCCTATTTCATTGTTCTTCAAAAATGTGTGTGTAGGTGATACACACACACTTTTTTGAAGAACAATGAAATAGGCAAACACATTTCTTCTTATCCTACTACAGTCTACTTGTTACTTTTGTATGATCAGATGTTACAGATGCCTCAGTACTGTTCTATAGTCAATAATTAATGTAGACACTCTCCAACTAGTAGCGTACCAATACTTCTTTATTATAGTCAGCCCTCCACATTTCTGGGTTTTACTTTTTTGGATTTGATTGATATGTTCTATCTAGGAATCTCTGTGTCCTCCAGCTCGACCCAAGAGTTGCACTGGAGAACATAGAAATTCACAGACAGAACACTTCTCTAGTTATCTACTGATCTTCCAGGGTCATTCTGTGGTCAATGTCTGGCAGAATTTCTGTCTGGCAGAAATTAGAGTTGAACTGGAGGATCCACAATGTCCAGAGAGGTGTTCTCTCAGGTAAAAAACAGCATTTTTAATCTATGGTTTTTTCCCAAATTTCTTGATGGTTCTGTGACTCTAACTCCAGCAAATATCAAGGGCTCACTGTACATCCTTTCAGGAAAGCTAACCTTGTTACGAAGCAGTCATTTTCTAAAGATTACTTCTTTCCCCTGACAATATCTGTGAATTCATTTCAAAAAATGGAAAGGTAAAAACATGACCATGATCATAAGAAGATAATATCACTAGACAAGTATTGCGGCAGCCATATGTCCCAAAAGGGACCTATAAGGAAGTATAAATATCAACTTTTGCCAACAATGTAGCAACTACCAGTGATTGGGAGCTGATCAAGACCAGAAAAACAGAAACATCTACTCAAAAAGAAAATCAATATGAGCAGAATTCTTTTTGAATAACATCATCTAGCTTGACAATACAACCCTATGCATCTTTAGACAGAAGTACCATATTCCATTAACTTGAGCTAAATTAGAATTGCTGTTTAAAAGAACCCTCAATGAATCTTTGAATATAGATAAATTCAGTTTTAAAAATTGCACTGCATGAATATCTTCACTATAATATATACACTACTATAATGCCTGTGTACTTAGAAAAGATTTGTAAGACACTGATTAGTAATACAATCACTCCTCCACATTACTATAATTAGGGGCACAGAACTGCAACAAAAGTAGAAAAACCATTTTTTAAAGCACTATTTTTTTAACCTGAGAGAACATCTCTCTATGAATCTCCAGATTCTCCAGCACAACTCTATAGTCAACCTCTGGTGGAAAGTGATAACAGAATTGCACTAGATGACCTAGAAATGTCTAGACAAATAATCTCTCTAGGAATCATAGTGGAAATTCAAAGAGAGAATTTATTAATAAACTCTACAAGTAGTCAAATCCACAAAAGTGGAACTGGAAAATGTGTGGCACTAACTATACATTTGTGAAATCTTGGATGGGGAGGGGAGAAAAACAGCCATCTACTTTCTATCTATTATTTGCCAAAGCAATATCCTGCACACATTTTCACAAGCCAGAACTACATTTAGTCGGATGTGACTAACTGGTTTATTATAATCTTCTAAAAATGAAATTTCATGTTTGAGAGAGAAACACTAAATTGATAATAAAGTATTTATATTTAGAAAGCTCTCCTTTTTCTATGAGTTACTAATGCATTTGTTCTACAGACTGATGTTTATACAATGCCCCAAAACACTGTCTTTTAATATAATTGCACAACATGCATAATGGTTATGACTGATAACATAGGCAGCAAAACATTTGCCTCTCCATAAGCTACATCAGCTGAGGCTACCCATCCAAAGTTGTCCATAGCCAACTTCATCCATTGTCCCATGTCAACATTCTGTAATTCCTTACTACTGTGTGAATGATATGAAGCAATTACAACTGAAATAGAGCAGAGAGTCATGAACTGCAAGCAAAACAAACAAATGCCAACTTTAACAAAAGAATAAACTATTATTTTACTAGGGCCACAGCATAACATCAGATGTCTGATATTCTTGAACAGGCACAACGGTCAAAGAGCTGCATGAAGAATAACATATGCGCCTGGGGGCTTTTCCAGCTTCCCTTCTTATTGCAGCTCCTTGCATCTCCATATGCCAAGAGCTAGCCTTAAAGGTCAAGAGGCCCACTAGAACAGGATTTGACATGGCACAGAGGGATGCACCTGGAAGGGAAATATATAATACACACCCTGTACAGTCACAAAATTCTTTCCACTAATAAAATAGGATTCTGTGGCCCTTAACCAAGGAATATTAATTTGGTCAAACAATTAAGCATGTATATATGCATATTTTTAATTCAATTCCACCAGTTTCATTTGCTCTGATTTCCCTGGATTTTTTTGAAGTTCACTTCTAATGAAACACATGGGTCTAACCCATTTTCAAAGCTGCAGCCAACAACAACGCAAACTTACTTGCCTACTCCATCTTAACAAAGGTACATTTTTTAAAACCTGCTACTTAAGACAACATTCTCTCATTTTGTTTTCCGAAATGGTTTCCCTGACAAATTCAGAATACCTGGTTAAACTCACACACTAAATATTTGGTTAGTAGTTAAAATCATATCTGTCTTTGACATTTCCAGACTAAGCCTATAATCTAAATATATTTTCCTGAAACTCCCACTAAACAAAATGAGGCCTATGTCTGAGTAGACTTGTAGACCAATAAATATTAACTGATCAAGACTACCACGCTGTCAAAAATAATTGCATGGATATGGCTGTAATGATGCAGAGAATTTAGCTTTATGAAAGAATACTGGAAGTTTTCTTAGTGGCTATAAGACTGACAACATCAATATTTGAACTGTTCCTTCCTCCCACAGAAAGCACCTTGTCTTTATTAAATGGGTAATATGGAAATGACTGAAATCTTACCACTGATGTACGCATTACAAATAGGTACATATTGATTAAAGCCATAAAGTGAAACCATACTTGGAATAGCAACTTTCTGGAACTACAATATGTCCAGAATGATTAAATTTCTTTTAAAAAAATGAAGAATTTTTGCAACAATTTTAGCAAGATCAAAAGAAGCATTTCCTTAGCTTATTTTAGAAACAAAAATATTATAAAGATTCCAAAGAATCACAAATGAGAGCTTTAATGTAACAAAATTACATTACATTTGTATATAACAGTATAATCTCTTTTTACCTGAAAGTTGACATCTTCCTTCTTAAAAATCAGTGCACGAACCTCATCAGGGTCCCCATTAAATATAGCTTGAACTAGTGGGGGCTGAAATATAAAACCAAAAGGAATGTTTTAATTTCAAAATAAGTGTTGTAGTTGTTGTTATATTGGGCATTAAAACCCGAACAGCTCAAAAATGGTATCACAAATAAAATTTGTCAAATACATCTTTACAAAATAGGTTTCTGCTTAAACAGTTGCAGCAATTTCCTAGATAAAATAAAAAGAAACATTTTATGAAGAGGTAATGCTGCATATTGCCACAGGGGAAAAGTATCTGACATTAGTGGGTTACATTTTGAAGAATGCATAATGATTACTTTCAAAGAAACAACATATAAAACTGTTTAGTCAGTTTTTTAATCATATAAAACAGCAAGAAAATTCAGAACATCTGAATAGATGGAGGAAATATGTCCTTATATCTAAAAATACCTCCATATGCTAACCTCCCCCCCTCCTCAATTCCACAAGGGAACAATCCAATTTTAATAAATGCCAAAAAAGGTTTACCAAAAACAATCAAGGTGAAATAGCAGCCTTGCATCACATGAGCTATGTTCTTCTACTGAATTTTAAGAACAAAACACTTTATTACAGAGTATATTACATGAATTCATAAAAAAAGCCAAAGATCATAGGAATCAATTTATATCCAGCAGTAGGTAGGAGACATGCTGTTTTGATACTGTAGTTTTGGAAACAATGGCCAGAAAAGAGAATATTTTTTAAAAAATCTAAAAATATGTGTCATTCATCAGGATTGCAGTTAGACCCAGGAGCACATTACTTTATGTTCACTATTTAAGCATAATATTAGGTACACTTTCTATATTCACATATATTTATGGTAAAAATCATTTGAGCTTTAAATCACAATTACAAGTAGGGCATATTTAACAGAAGCTTCTTACCAAGCCATGTGCTGGAGGTGAAGGATGTAGAGATATGCTTTCCTGAGGCAGTTTGGAAACAAATGTGGGAGAATCATCTTCCACCTCCTCCAAAACAACAATACATACGCGACTCATTCGATCCGTTTGAAGATGAAAACTAGATTTGTAAGAGTCTTATTCTAATCACAGCTAACACCACATAGAAAGTCTTTTTAAACATAATTTGTGAGAACTATTGCTGTTCTGAAATCTTTAAGTGATATAATTAAATGACCTCTTATTTGCCAGATTCTGTAACCTGAGTTATTCAGCTAATGAGGTTTTCCCAAAAAATCTATAAAATAATTCTATTACTTTATAGCACTCAAGTACTAAAATACTATTTGCTCAACCAATATTAAAGTATAAATTACAATAGTATATATAAATATGCTGATGCTTGTTACCAAGCCAGCTGATTCTGTTAAATTTCTACAGAATAGAATTTCTGAACAGTAAAATCATTGTTATAGACAACATAACACCATTCTATACAGAATGAAACAAGAAGACAATTGCTCTGGCAGAGATGATCACAGCTTTCTCCACTTCCGAAAGGTCAGTTCCCAGTTAACAGTAGTAGGTATTCTACCATAAAAGGCATACATGACTGTCCCAAGTGTTCCAGTTCATAATTCTGTAACTAACAATTTTATTTCTCTTACTGTCAGAAATTCACCAGAGAAATGCAATCTGTTCTCAGCAGCTATTCAGAATTATAGAGCTCCAATGATGACATTTCTTCTCTTTGTACAAATCCCTGCAATGTATGTACCACTAAGCTGCAGTACATTTACATGTGATGAGTCAGACAACAAAGGACAATGAGACTTGGATAATAATATTGCTTGTTTGATCCAGATTCCCCAGCAGACCGCAACAAAGACTGCTTTACTCCATCCATCAAAAAAGAAATGCAGAATATTTGTTTTCCACCATCACGTCGTTGCGTGAGCTGATCCAACAGGGAATGCACAAGGCATAAATGCTGGCAATGACGAAAGCTTTAGCAAAATACCAAAGCACAAGCACTTGAATTATTGCTTTAGACTTTTCATTCAGAAGTAGTTCATCATTTGAGTGCTTCTTTTGATCTCAGTATGAATAGAGCTCCCATTATAGCCTTCCTTCAGACCGATGTAAAAAAAAAAGAGGAGGTAAAAAGGAAATTCAGGTTCCACACATCGTCTTTCAGCCAACTTCTTTATTTGAAGATCTGCATCTATGTCAGCCTGCTGGTTCTTCAAGTTAAATGTTCTCTTTATCCAAATATTGTCACCAATAAAGGATTTTCTGTGCGGTAGATGCTACTGCAAACCATATAAAAATCCAGTGCCTTAAAAAGTAATTGCAGATCACGTCAACAGGGCACAAAATAGCACCGCAGCAGTGTTCCAACAGAGCAATAGTCTTTATAGCACAGACTGCAGACCCGCAGGATGAAATGCCTAGTAATGCTCACATGTTACACTTCGCAAAGAACCGAAGCCACTGCTCTGGATGTAACTTCCTGTAGAGGGGGAGGGGGAAAGCCGCTTTTGGGTAGCCCTCAGAGAATATCCATGCCAGTTTCGTATGACTAATTCAATTCAAATGTAGAAATTTTTTTCAGCCTTTTACATTTTCCATTGAAAACCACAAGAAAACTTGTGTACTGGCACTGCTGACTAACAGTGTAGGAAAATAACAATTCCAAATCCTTAAGTACTTTCATATGGTACTGTCTTTTCAGAACTGCCTCACTTAACCCTCTACAGTCATGAAGCTTTACTGATGACAGTAAACTAAGCATCAAAGGATTTAAAGAGACAGTACCCTAAAACCAATGGATACCTATTTCTCAAAATAATTACTGCTGCTGTGCAAGAAGCATTAACAAACACAAAAATGTGTTTTATGGAGGAAAAAGTCTTCCAATAAGTTGAATTTACAGCTTTTATTTCAATCTAACAAGGAGCAAAAGTGATTTGTGATTTTATTATTTATGTTTTCAAAACACTGGAAATGTTATTGATTCAAAACTGAATAGCCTAGTACATCCACTGAATTTATTTTGAGTTACAAAACAAAATTACAAACAGCATTCAAAACTTAGTAAAAAAACAAACAAACCCTTAGCAGAATTTCAAAGCATAAAAGAAAAAAATTAGACATGGAAGACTGCAAGGACCTTGTCAATTGTTTTGGATATTAGGATATAGTATTGCAGATTATGTATCAACATTTCAGCTATCGGTACTTCTTACTAACCTAACCCTGATATTTCTAAATTCTTCATTTAAAAATAACCAAAATATATTGTAACATTTACATTTCAGAAGGAATTCCATATTAAAAAATAAGTGATACAGATGTACTAATCTTATGATTTTTAATGTTAGAAACCATATTCTAACATTTATAGCCCTCACTTGTTTTCTTGTAATTTAATGTCACTTATTTCAGTGAAACTAAAATAATGCACTGAATATTGGGCCCTAGTTGCATTAAGTCTGTAATCTTATTCATACTTAATTGGGAACAAGACACACTGAACATAGAGGCTCAATTCACAATGAAGTTTTTTTTTGTTTGTTTTATTAAGACAACCATGTGGCTCCCGTGCACTTCACTCAATTCACTCCTTCATATACACATTTAATGCTTCAAACCTCACCTATTTAAACCAGTTTTTATTACATTTAAAGAGGAGTAGAATTTTGAACCAGGATCAAAACATGGCTCCTGAGCCTGGTTAATAAACTAATATTAAGTCAGAGCTCCCTGTTTCAGATATAATGGAACTGAAACTCCCAAGCCTACACATATAGGAAGATCCCCCCCCCAAAAAAAGGGGGGGGGTCAAAGGCATAATTGAAGGGCAAATGACTTTCCAGGCCACCTCCTCAAAAAATAACAAGTTGTTAACAGCTATGGAGATTCTGCTGCTCCCAATTTTTTTTGGATGGTGAAGTGGTAATATAGCAGACTTCTGTTTCTTCTGCCTCTACAGGTGGTTGCTTAAGGTGGCTGAGGAGTCAGCCACAACCATTTTTTTTTTGTCTGTGACCATATCTAGAGAACTGCATGGATCTGAACCCTGAGCCTTGCTGTGGCACAAAAGGGCAAATTTGCCACACAAACACCCGAGGTAACTAGGAGTCCCCGGTGGTGCAGTGGGTTCAAATCCGGGGAGAGGCGGATGAGCTCCCTCTATCAAGCTCCAGCTCCTCATGCGGGGACATGAGAGAAGCCTCTCACAAGGATGACAAAAAAATCAAAAATCATCCGAGCGTCCCCTGCGCAACGTCCTTGCACAGCCAATTCTCTCACACCAGAAGCGACTTGTAGTTCCTCAAGTCGCTCCTGACACAACAAAAAAACCAAAAAAACAAACCCTGAGGTAACTGGGACTCATGGCAGAGCAGGCCCTGCCTAGAGGGAAAAGGTTAAAGAAAATACCTTTTCCTATACAAAAGCACATTCAGAAGAAACCTTATACTCTATGAATATTCAATGATAAATTGAATCTGTTAAGTGCTAAAGGTGTGCCAAGGCCAGCGTAGCTTTACTATGAGAGACAAAACTCGTATATAAAGCTTATTCGTTAGCACTGATCAGTTCTTACTTTAACCTATCACACAGGGTTGTTGTGAGGATAAAAAGGGGAAAGTAGACTCATATACACTAGGTTCCATTCTCTGAAAGTACGTTGTAAAATGAATGTACAAATTAGACATTTATCTTAGTTTCATACCTTGCTTAAGAAATTTCTTTTAAAAATGTTTTGCCAGTAGCATGATGTCTTCTAAACATGATGTTTTAGATAACTATCAGAATGAATTGTAAATGAAAGCACTTCTAATTTTGAATCTTGCTTTGGAAAGATTTCAAATACAGAAATGTCAGTTTAAAATGCCTCATAATTCAATTACATATATATTAAATGCTTTGTCAAAAGTGTATTCTGCATTCTAATAAAATTTTAAAAACAGATATTGCTCATGGGGTCTGATTCAAACTTACCATATCTGAGAAGAATATCTCTAAAGAAAAGCAGGATATATACCTGGCCATTTAAGCTGATACTGTTGCTACCCACCCATATAAACATATAAATAGTAGATGACAGACTATGCTCATACGTCACATGGAAATTACCATATGGACTGAATTCTATACATTTGAGGGTGGAAAAAACAATAAAACTAACAACAGCAGCTGCTAGCCAATTGTAGCTATCATAGAATTTGACAAGATCATGTCTGCTTTCCGTATGCATGGGAGAGCTTATTTTTGGCACCCTCTTCTGCCCCAAGCTGTCTCTTCCACTCCTTCTCATCTACTTTTCTTAAAGATCCTGTTTCTAAAACTACAAGCTCTTTTAGTCCATTCATACCCATCAACATTGCTTCTTAAATCAACTATCTCCTGGGAGATTTTCTCAGATATATTAGTTCTTAACAACTAAGAAGCCTAAAGGATCACAGGCAGCAAAAATGTACTTAATTAGTATGTACCAAGGCATAAAACATGTAACATCAATGTGCAATATACATTTGTCTCTGAATGGCACTGTAGGTTTCCTTGGAGACAGCTGGGATTTAGAGAAATGCTGCTACCACCCACACAAGAGGACCTCACAGTTTCTCCATCCTTCTGGCATCACCTCCCTATTCCACCCCCCCACACACACACAAGAAAGGAAAAAATTCTAATATCAAGGCATTTGTACTTCATCACAAGCAATCAATCACAAATCACAATAATCTGTAATACTGAACTCCTTCTTTCCTATAGGTTTAAAATTTTGACCATTGAAAATGAAATTTCCAATCAACACCCTTTAATTACAAATTGAGAAGGAAATTATAAGAAATACATTATTCTTAGACGATATGGTAAAATGGATACCAAAGAGAAAACTATTGTTGAAAAATGTTATATGGATTTTGGAAAAGGGGAAATCTACTTTCAAATGTACAAGAAAAACAATACAACTAAACTGGATCTTAATCACAATTACTCAGAAGAAAGTTCCACATAACTGTATACTATTTACTTCCTATTTATTAAATGTGGGATAACATAAACTGAAATAAAGTAAGTCACAAATATTTGTTATGTGAATTCTTGCGAAGAATTTTACATTAACAGAATAGTGAATGGGACAGAACATTAAACACATGGAAACCAAAAGCAGCTAACAAACCCAACTTGACAGCAATATTTTGCAGTCATACATGTAACAATACTAACTTCTCATATCAGGTGCAAAAATGGTACAAAACAACGGCAGCCAGGATGTGCTACGCCAAGAGGTGGAGAAAGGAAGAAATACCAACTATAGAAGAATGGAAAAAGAAAATATTAGATGTTAAGAATATGGATAGTCTCAGTTATCTAATACAAAGAAATAAAGGAGTGGCAGAGAAATGTACAGATTGGACACCACTAAATGAATATTTAATGCAAGAGAAGTAAGAGGACAATAAATAAGAAGAAAATATGTATAATAAGAATAATAAAAGAATAAACTTGTAAATCTACAATTATCTACAATTATATTCATGTTGTTGTTCATTCGTTCAGTCGTCTCCGACTCTTCGTGACCTCATGGACCAGCCCACGCCAGAGCTCCCTGTCGGCCGTTACCACCCCCAGCTCCCTCAAGGTCAGTCCAGTCACGTCAAGGATGCCATCCATCCATCTTGCCCTTGGTCGGCCCCTCTTCCTTTTGCCTTCCACTTTCCCCAGCATAATTGTCTTCTCTAGGCTTTCCTGTCTCCTCATGATGTGGCCAGAGTACTTCAACTTTGTCTCTAGTATCTTTCCTTCCAGTGAGCAGCCGGGCTTTATTTCCTGGAGGATGGACTGGTTGGATCTTCTCGCAGTCCAAGGCACTCTCAGAACTTTCCTCCAACACCACAGCTCAAAAGCATCGATCTTCCTTCGCTCAGCCTTCCCTAAGGTCCAGCTCTCACATCCGTAGGTTACTACAGGGAATACCATGGTTTTGACTAGGCAGATCTTTGTTGCCAGTCTGATGTCTCTACTCTTCACTATTTTATCGAGATTGGACATTGCTCTCCTCCCAAGAAGTAAGCGTCTCCTGATTTCCTGGCTACAGTCTGCATCTGCAGTAATCTTTGCACCTAGAAATACAAAGTCTGTCACGGCCTCCACGGTTTCTCCCTCTATTTTCCAGTTGTCAATCATTCTTGTTGCCATAATCTTGGTTTTTTTGATGTTTAGCTGCAACCCGGCTTTTGCGCTTTCTTCTTTCACCTTGATTAGAAGGCTCCTCAGCTCCTCCTCGCTTTCGGCCATCAGAGTGGTGTCATCTGCATATCTGAGGTTGTTAATGTTTCTTCCAGCAATTTTCACCCCAGCCTTGCATTCATCCAGCCCCGCACATCGCATGATGTGTTCTGCATACAAGTTAAAAAGGTTGGGTGAGAGGATGCAGCCTTGCCGTACGCCTTTCCCAATCTTGAACCAGTCTGTTGTTCCGTGGTCAGTTCTGACTGTTGCTACTTGGTCCTTGTACAGATTCCTCAGGGGAGAGACAAGGTGGC